GAGTTGCAACAATTTTGCATTCCGTCGAGTCTGTTTTAGCGAAGCAATTAAAGTGCAGTGGCATTTGTTTATATGATTTTTTGTGGGTTTTCGTCGAATCGTATATTTATTAGAAATAATYTAACCTCGTATAGACAAATTGGAAATAGTATCTGTTATGTATTGCATACATTTAGGCTTGATTTCGTTCGAGCAACGAACTTGCATTCTCTGTAGTAAAATTTAAAAATTGCTAATTTTAGTAAAATTATTTAAATTATAACATCCTTTTACATAATAATAATGTTAACGATGAGTCAAAATGTTAAGCATAGTGCCGCGTTGAGTGTTACAGTTATCGCAAGCTTTATATCCAATGTGTAATAACGACTTGTGACAAGATTGAAAAACATGATTTTTAGAGTATTGGTATTGATTTTACAATATTGCGATAAATTGTTTATATATTATTKTTATAGCACATCTCGGTTATATGCTCTGCATTTCTTGATAATTTGTCACCTGTTAAGTTCAAGGAGTTTTACTTTTCCCGTGTACGGCCAACCAAATTAGTAAATATTGAAAAAGGTCTTGTTTTTTGTTTACAGTTACTTTATTGAAGCAACCAAAATATTTTCGCTCAGCATGTATGATGGTCAATACACGTAAATAGCTCTACATTTTTCCTCAAATACAATGGATTAAGTTAACAATCTTTTTTTTTTATATAGTGGTTGTTGCTCATAAATAAATAAATGTAAAAATAAAGCGATTTTAAATATATCTGAGATTTTTTCGACCACTTCACAATCGGTTGAATAAAAGCAAACACAATTTGAAAATTCTARTACAATTTAAAACTATAAGGAGATGTAAACAAATTATTTCACGCTATTGTATATTGCTTAGATGAATAAATCGCAGAAGCTAACAAATCAAAAATTAAATCAAGCAAACGTTAAATCGCAACACAAAAACAGGATGCAAATAAGTTCTCGTGCCGATTTGCGCGCCATATCCCAGATTGCGTAATTGGATCTGTAAAAGAAATGAGATTTTAGTAAATATGCATTTGTACCGTCTAAAATGTATTTAATTCTTGTTGCAATTACCTGCTGCTCCAATTGTCCTATACGCCGACACGCAACACAGGGAGTAACAGAGGAGGTGGCGACACGTTTTTATTAGTAGCGCACAATCGGATCAAGGTTTGAATATCAAAGCGGGCATTGCAATCTATTGCAGCTGAGCGCAGGCGTCGKATTTTGTTTTATAATTTTGATTGGATACCAGATTTTGGATTTTAATGCCAATTGGCTTAGTTGCAGTGCATTGAATGCTGGCGTTTTTTCAAACTTTTTGTTTGTTTGTTTGTGTTAACATAAATATACATAATACAGATTAGAAACAGTCAAATAGCGACAATAACAGACCGCGGTTTTGTAACTTTTAAACGGCTTAAACTAAAGTAAACTAATTTTTGCTTTAATCTTAATCGCGATATTGTCCTTGAGGCCTGTGGTGTATAGCAGTGCATTGTGTGGGATCCCACATAACCAGTTTTTATTTTTGGTTGACAGTTAAACGGTTATCGGAT